CCCGCGCCAATGCATTGTTTTGTTGGCAGTGTATGTCTTGAGCGGTTTCAACTTTCTACTGGCCGTCGAGTTCTTGAAATCAAAATCGAAGCGCCAAGACATGGAACAGCCTGAGCAAGAATGCTTCATAGAAGAGCTGTATCTGCGTACCGAGTTGGAAGTTCTGCTAAAGGTCGAGGACCCTGTCACAGCAAAAGATGTAGGTGTTCGGCGTGAGGCGGTGCGGTTCATTGCGAACTACAAGGCAAATGGCTTTGTACAGGAAATGAACTGCGTGCATGGGGTGGCACCCACGTCTTTGCGCACTGCACGTGAATATCTGGACCACTGTGAGAAGCTGGGTGCGCCTCTGCTGAACAGAAGGTTGCGTGACCATGTGGTAGATGCGAATGGACCGGAGGCAACATCCAGCACCCGACGCAATCTGCGCAAGTGGTCGCGGAGATTTCGAAAGCGCTGGTGTTTGAGGTATGGTGCATTGCGGCCGCTGTACGATTTGCCGGCGGATGAAATACAAGCCAAGGCGCAATGGAGTGGGATTGATTGTTTTCTTTCAGTGCCAGAGGTTTCACTTCTGGTGCTTGGGTTCATGCGCCATTGAGGCATATGTTGGACGGGGCTCTCGTGATTTCCTTATTGCTTCAGATTTTTCTCTGTCACCACAGCAGTGTGGTCGTTTGGACGCAGCTAAAGGCTAAAGTTTGCTTATCTGACATCAGTTTGTCCACAAGCTTCGAGCCCGGTTTCGGACTCTTTGGGGTGTCCCAGATTTGGGGGTCAGCTCAGGCTGCTTGCTTTCTGAATGATTTAAAGCTGCGTTTCGGGCCCCGCTTCGGGGCTCCGAAATCGGGTCCCAAAACTGGGGCCCGCCAACCGGACAGTTTGCACACCTCTGAGGTGGGCCTCTTCTGGCGACATGCAGATTGGCTTCAAGGCAAAGTGCCAGAGAGCCAAGTGCCTGTTTTCATCAACTTGGATGAAACAGCGATTCAGTATTCTTACTACAGTGCAAGCGGCTTGGTGTCTTTGACGCTGTCGGAAAAGCCAAAGGTGATGGTACCCAAGGGTGATCGACGCGGCGGCATAACGCATGTTGCCTTGCTATCCCCCGTGTTGCGAGTTCAACAGCATTTGCCACAAGTGCTGATCTGCAACACGCGGAAGCTTACAAAGACCTTACTCCGTCAGCTTAATGTGAACAAACCCGACAATGTCTGGCTTCTTCGCCGAAGGAGCGCCTGGAACAGCACCGACATCATGGTGTGGCTCATCCAACTGATAGGATACGTGTTTCGCACGAAGTTTTCGGGAATGGGCTTTCAGCCAATCTTGTTAATGGACGCAGCTAGTGTGCATTGGGCGCAACCTGTTGTCAGAGTGGCTCGTCTGCAGAGTATCTTTTTGCTACCAGTGCCCCCCGCTTGCACGCCGTTGGTGCAGCCTTTGGACGTATACGCCTTCTCACGCTACAAGCAGAAATTGGAGTGTTTGTTCCGTGATTATCTAATGGCACAACAAGGTCCCGTAACAGCGCATGCCTGGTTTCACATCTTGTTTCAGGCGATTGATTGGCTCCGAAGCGAGCCGTGGCATCAAGCTTTTTCATTGGTTGTGCTTCCCAACCAAGGTTTGAATTTGCACCAGAATCTTGCAAAGCATTTTTCTGGTGGGCGCTTAAGCTGCCAGCCCGGGCGTCTGTCGCCTGCTGAGCTCGCGACTCTCCTACCGCGGCGGTATAAACTCGTTTATACCGATTGGATCGGTGCTCCAGAGCACATCATGCCGCTCCTCGAGTAATGCAAAAGTAAATGCTTGCATGCTGCAGTGCAGCGCGGCTGAACTGTGACTGTCCGAGGAGGCTCAAGCATCAGAAACATAGACTGCCCTGTACAGTCACGCTCATGAAGCGTGTTGCAGATGTGTCTGCTCTTGAGGAAGCTCGTGAGAAGGTGTCGAATTTGCCTCAAAGGTTTTTGCTGTTGTCGTTGTGTCACGCATGCTCCTGTGCACACCCTCCAGGTGCGTGCGCTGCAGAAGAAGGTGCGCTCGACTTCGCGACTCTGTCGGTCAGAGAAGCAATGCTGGGCAAATGCTGGTTTAAACCCGCGCCAATGCATTGTTTTGTTGGCAGTGTATGTCTTGAGCGGTTTCAACGTTCTACTGGCCGTCGAGTTCTTGAAATCAAAATCGAAGCGCCAAGACATGGAACAGCCTGAGCAAGAATGCTTCATAGAAGAGCTGTATCTGCGTACCGAGTTGGAAGTTCTGCTAAAGGTCGAGGACCCTGTCACAGCAAAAGATGTAGGTGTTCGGCGTGAGGCGGTGCGGTTCATTGCGAACTACAAGGCAAATGGCTTTGTACAGGAAATGAACTGCGTGCATGGGGTGGCACCCACGTCTTTGCGCACTGCACGTGAATATCTGGACCACTGTGAGAAGCTGGGTGCGCCTCTGCTGAACAGAAGGTTGCGTGACCATGTGGTAGATGCGAATGGACCGGAGGCAACATCCAGCACCCGACGCAATCTGCGCAAGTGGTCGCGGAGATTTCGAAAGCGCTGGTGTTTGAGGTATGGTGCATTGCGGCCGCTGGACGATTTGCCGGCGGATGAAATACAAGCCAAGGCGCAATGGAGTGGGATTGATTGTTTTCTTTCAGTGCCAGAGGTTTCACTTCTGGTGCTTGGGTTCATGCGCCATTGAGGCATATGTTGGACGGGGCTCTCGTGATTTCCTTCTTGCTTCAGATTTTTCTCTGTCACCACAGCAGTGTGGTCGTTTGGACGCAGCTAAAGACTAAAGTTTGCTTATCTGACATCAGTTTGTCCACAAGCTTCGAGCCCGGTTTCGGACTCTTTGGGGTGTCCCAGATTTGGGGGTCAGCCCAGGCTGCTTGCTTTCTGAATGATTTAAAGCTGCGTTTCGGGCCCCGCTTCGGGGCTCCGAAAGCGGGTCCCAAAACTGGGGCCCGCCAACCGGACAGTTTGCACACCTCTGAGGTGGGCCTCTTCTGGCGACATGCAGATTGGCTTCAAGGCAAAGTGCCAGAGAGGCAAGTGCCTGTTTTCATCAACTTGGATGAAACAGCGATTCAGTATTCTTACTACAGTGCAAGCGGCTTGGTGTCTTTGACGCTGTCGGAAAAGCCAAAGGTGATGGTACCCAAGGGTGATCGACGCGGCGGCATAACGCATGTTGCCTTGCTATCCCCCGTGTTGCGAGTTCAACAGCATTTGCCACAAGTGCTGATCTGCAACACGCGGAAGCTTACAAAGACCTTACTCCGTCGGCTTAATGTGAACAAACCCGACAATGTCTGGCTTCTTCGCCGAAGGAGCGCCTGGAACAGCACCGACATCATGGTGTGGCTCATCCAACTGATAGGATACGTGTTTCGCACGAAGTTTTCGGGAATGGGCTTTCAGCCAATCTTGTTAATGGACGCAGCTAGTGTGCATTGGGCGCAACCTGTTGTCAGAGTGGCTCGTCTGCAGAGCATCTTTTTGCTACCAGTGCCCCCCGCTTGCACGCCGTTGGTGCAGCCTTTGGACGTATACGCCTTCTCACGCTACAAGCAGAAATTGGAGTGTTTGTTCCGTGATTATCGAATGGCACAACAAGGTCCCGTAACAGCGCATGCCTGGTTTCACATCTTGTTTCAGGCGATTGATTGGCTCCGAAGCGAGCCGTGGCATCAAGCTTTTTCATTGGTTGGGCTTCCCAACCAAGGTTTGAATTTGCACCAGAATCTTGCAAAGCATTTTTCTGGTGGGCGCTTAAGCTGCCAGCCCGGGCGTCTGTCGCCTGCTGAGCTCGCGACTCTCCTACCGCGGCGGTATAAACTCGTTTATACCGATTGGATCGGTGCTCCAGAGCACATCATGCCGCTCCTCGAGTAATGCAAAAGTAAATGCTTGCATGCTGCAGTGCAGCGCGGCTGAACTGTGACAGTCCGAGGAGGCTCAAGCATCAGAAACATAGACTGCCCTGTACAGTCACGCTCATGAAGCGTGTTGCAGATGTGTCTGCTCTTGAGGAAGCTCGTGAGAAGGTGTCGAATTTGCCTCAAAGGTTTTTGCTGTTGTCGTTGTGTCACGCATGCTCCTGTGCACACCCTCCAGGTGCGTGCGCTGCAGAAGAAGGTGCGCTCGACTTCGCGACTCTGTCGGTCAGAGAAGCAATGCTGGGCAAATGCTGGTTTAAACCCGCGCCAATGCATTGTTTTGTTGGCAGTGTATGTCTTGAGCGGTTTCAACGTTCTACTGGCCGTCGAGTTCTTGAAATCAAAATCGAAGCGCCAAGACATGGAACAGCCTGAGCAAGAATGCTTCATAGAAGAGCTGTATCTGCGTACCGAGTTGGAAGTTCTGCTAAAGGTCGAGGACCCTGTCACAGCAAAAGATGTAGGTGTTCGGCGTGAGGCGGTGCGGTTCATTGCGAACTACAATGCAAATGGCTTTGTACAGGAAATGAACTGCGTGCATGGGGTGGCACCCACGTCTTTGCGCACTGCACGTGAATATCTGGACCACTGTGAGAAGCTGGGTGCGCCTCTGCTGAAAAGAAGGTTGCGTGACCATGTGGTAGATGCGAATGGACCGGAGGCAACATCCAGCACCCGACGCAATCTGCGCAAGTGGTCGCGGAGATTTCGAAAGCGCTGGGGTTTGAGGTATGGTGCATTGCGGCCGCTGGACGATTTGCCGGCGGATGAAATACAAGCCAAGGCGCAATGGAGTGGGATTGATTGTTTTCTTTCAGTGCCAGAGGTTTCACTTCTGGTGCTTGGGTTCATGCGCCATTGAGGCATATGTTGGACGGGGCTCTCGTGATTTCCTTCTTGCTTCAGATTTTTCTCTGTCACCACAGCAGTGTGGTCGTTTGGACGCAGCTAAAGGCTAAAGTTTGCTTATCTGACATCAGTTTGTCCACAAGCTTCGAGCCCGGTTTCGGACTCTTTGGGGTGTCCCAGATTTGGGGGTCAGCCCAGGCTGCTTGCTTTCTGAATGATTTACAGCTGCGTTTCGGGCCCCGCTTCGGGGCTCCGAAATCGGGTCCCAAAACTGGGGCCCGCCAACCGGACAGTTTGCACCCCTCTGAGGTGGGCCTCTTCTGGCGACATGCAGATTGGCTTCAAGGCAAAGTGCCAGAGAGCCAAGTGCCTGTTTTCATCAACTTGGATGAAACAGCGATTCAGTATTCTTACTACAGTGCAAGCGGCTTGGTGTCTTTGACGCTGTCGGAAAAGCCAACGGTGATGGTACCCAAGGGTGATCGACGCGGCGGCATAACGCATGTTGCCTTGCTATCCCCCGTGTTGCGAGTTCAACAGCATTTGCCACAAGTGCTGATCTGCAACGCGCGGAAGCTTACAAAGACCTTACTCCGTCAGCTTAATGTGAACAAACCCGACAATGTCTGGCTTCTTCGCCGAAGGAGCGCCTGGAACAGCACCGACATCATGGTGTGGCTCATCCAACTGATAGGATACGTGTTTCGCACGAAGTTTTCGGGAATGGGCTT